TTCAATTTCTTGGTATTGCGATAGAGAATTTGGATTTTGCTATGATTACGGTTTGTGCAGGGGTGTAATCTTGCTGAAATTTCAGTGTTCGAATGATTTACTGTTGTAGGTTTGTTCTTCTGTCAAATACAATGTGGAGCCAGTGACAGTGGGTGAAATTACCATGTTTAAGGTAACCATTATTGCTTATTTCGGTCCTTTTGATAACCATTTAGTTTTTAGTTTTTGGAAATTGGGCTTGTTTTCTCATATTTTCTGTGCAAACACTCGATGAAATCTAAAAGCAAAAACAGTTTTTTCCCAAAACTACTCTTTTTAGTACTTTTTAGCTTGAATTTTGAAACCATTCTTAAAATGTAGACAACAAAACATAGTAACCAACGGACGAAAGCAGTGTTTATAGGCTTAGTTTTCAAAAATAAAAAACCAAAAACCAAATAATTATGGAACGAAACCTTATTTGTTTGTTTTTTTTCCAGTAGAATCAGAGAGGTCGAAGTAATATGTAAAGATGCCTCGAAACCTGGTTAACTAATGGTTTTCTGTTTTCGAACTCTAATTCATATGATGTGTTTCTTTGTTTTGTTACTCATTTTTTATAACCATGAACAATTTCAAATTCTGAGCCAAAATTTAAAGTGGTTATTTTATTTTTTTCGTTTTTTTCATTTGGCTTAGAATTCAAGTGTGTTTCCAAAGGAGTTGAAGAACAGAAGTTGTCTAATTTTTAAAAATAGGAAATGAAAATTTTGAGTTTTGACCCAAAAGGGAGATCGTACACGTAACAATGTGGCCATTTAACTTGGAAAGAAAGTTGCGAGTTGTTTTCTCTGATTTTTCTAGCTTTGTTATCTACAAATTTCTGTTCAAAGTACAGAAGTGTTCTTAGTGCTGTTAATTCTTAACTTTTATAGGGGCGGGTCAGCACGCAGGAGGTTTTCTCCTTGTCCAACTCTGATTTAGTTCCTGGTAAATATGAAGGTAATTGAGTTTCTAATTAGTACTTCTCTGGTTCCTCTGCCCTCTCTCAGATCTCTGGTTTTCATGTTGGAAAATCATGTATCTGACGGCAACATGTATGCATATGCATGTATTTTGTGGGTTGTAGGGGGGCTTAAATTATGGGAAGGCGCATTGGATCTTGTCAAAGCTCTCTGTGGAGAGGTTGAAAATGGTCATTTGTCATTTGCTGGGAAGCGAGTTTTAGAGGTGGGCATCTTGATATTCAGGTGATTATATACTGTATGGAGATTGTAGGCGAACCCATCTGCATACTAAAAAATGTTGTTAGAGCATTTTGTTCGTTCATATGTGGATAGACTGCTTATAGAATTCCATATTCGAAGTTGCGATTGGATCTATTCATTAAAAAGAGATAATATTGTAGAAATTTAGCATCAATATATAACAATATTTATTTACTGTGTTGCAGACTTGCTATTAATTGAACTTTAGTTGATGATTATGAAAAGTTTCATATTCAAGCGAGTTATCATCTATATCATTTTCTACAATGAAGTTTAAGTGCATGTTTGACACCCAGTTTTTCATGCAATCCGTCAAATCTTCATAAAAAATTGCTCATGAAATATTTCTATATTAGAACAGTGTTCTGACGTTCTAATTCGTATTATGATCTTCTATATGCATTCTTTTTCCTTTATTAAATCGAGATTTTAATCAAAATCACACGCAAGGAACTGGACTATTTTACATGTGTTTAATTTTCCTAGTTTTTGAGTATGGGATTGTTTTCTTTTCTTGATGTTTGTTGGTGAGGACCTTTAGATGCCCGTATTGCGTTGCAGTATGTCCAATATGTTCTATATTTTAAAAGGAAGCATCTTCTTGACATACATAAAGTCTAGTTCTCTTCCTCATTGACTTTGTCTCTATGCTTTCAGCTTGGATGTGGCCATGGTCTTCCTGGTATTTATGCATGCCTGGAGGTAAATTTATTCTTCTGATTTGTTTCATTAAATTTGTAGATTAAATGCCGGAAAACCTCTATGGTTCTTTACATTCCTTAACACTACCCTTCCTCGCTCGTTAGGATGCAGCTGCAGTACATTTCCAGGATTTCAATGCCGAAGTCCTGAGATGCCTTACCATTCCAAATGTCACTGCAAACCTTACAAAAAAGGCTGAAGCTTTGCCAACTAATCCAACCGAATCTGATGCTGAATCAGTAGCTTGTTACTTCGCTGGTGATTGGAGTGAAATGCATAAAATTCTGCCGTTTGCGTCCGACGACAAGGAGAAGCTAAGTGAAAATTTCAATGGCTATGACATTGTTTTAATGGCGGAGACCGTTTATTCTCTTTCTACACTTAAAACTCTCTATAGACTTATCACACAGGTAGAACTTATACAGATATCCATCTACTTTTGTGTCTTTATAACTTAAACGCAATTTTTTTTTGTGTATTATAATTTTTTATGTAATGTTTTTATTTCTATATTACCTTGCATCATTATCTAATGTAGTTTTCAATGCTTTAATAGTGTTTGAGCCGTCCTCATGGAGTTGTATACATGGCTGGAAAGAAACATTACTTTGGAGTAGGAGGAGGAACCCGACGCTTTCTCTCTGTGTTAGAAAAAGAAGGTAAGCTGGTCGTACACAATTTCGATAAAATTATGCTTAAACATTATACTTCTTCCTGATTGGACAAATGAGAACTAATTTAAAATGAATTTGATATTCTTGTGGGGTCTTCCATTGGAGACTCTTCTATGAATTCGTTATACAAATTGCTAGCCTAAAATATCATGAGTGATGAATTTCTTCTGGGTCATTGGCTGATTTAAGACGAATGATTCCTTTTTTTTAATTCTTTTTTCTTTCTAATTTTAACTTTTTTATGAAGCAGTGAATCATTTCATTGATATGATAAAATTTACAAAAAAAAAAAAGAAAAAGAAAAAAAGAAAAAGAAAAAAGGAAACTTGTGAGACCCAACATAGGTTGGAGTCTTTATAAGGGTGTGGAAACCTCTCTCTAATAGACGCGTTTTAAAATCCGTGAGGTTGACGGTGATACGTAATGTGCCAAAGCAGGCAATATTGGCTAGCGGTGGGTTTTAACTGTTACAAGATCGTACCCAATGAATTACAAGAAGAGGATTTGAATCGCACCCAATTAGAGTTAAGAAAGGTTTGAATGTGTTTCCACGTTTGTGAAGATACGAGATTTAAGAGGAATCACTATCTGACTTATTCTGTGATTATATGGTTTGAGAACTAAAATTATATGTTTGTTTCCCTACAAAGTTTCCATTAATTTCAGATGGGTTTATGATTCAATCACTTTTTGAAGGGAATTATTTGTTTAATTGACTGTTTATCTTATGTGCCCTTACAGGTGAAATGGTTTCCAAACTGATTGCAGAAGTTGCTGATGGTTCGTCTAACGTTAGAGAAGTGTGGAAGATCTCATTGAAATAGGTTAGAAATCCTAATCTTTCACTGAAAAGTTTTCTTTCGTTACTGGTACATGCCTGCATCAAAGTAATTCTTGTTCATGTTTTGGGATTTTTTATCTGGCACCTTTCTTCTACAAAACTTCTCAAATGATCAAAATATCTTCAATTTTGTTTTCTCTCTTTTTTAGGCAAAGATAAATTAAATTAATATAACCCAATTATAATCCTTGCAGAAGGAAGCATTAGGGATGGTTTATGCAAATGATCACTGGAACGATAGCGTTCTGTATTTCTCTCCTTTGTCGAGTTCGTATCTGAAAATTATGGATCAAATCTTTTTTGGGAAGTTGAACACTGTGTTGTGTGCTCCCTTTGTTGGAAAGTATGTCATAGTTTCTTCAAGAATATTACATGCTCTAACTGTGATGAGTGGATGGATATGTCTTAGCAAAATCCTGGAAAAGAACTAAATGGATCCTTAGGTACACACAATACTTCATGAGCCATTCCTTGTATCTGATGAAAATATTTATGTATGAATTTTGCAGTTGACATGGTCAAAGAAGATCATCAATAGGTATGCGTTGAAGCTATGAACTATTATTGGCCCCAAATTCAGCTTATTATAGCCCATCAACACTCAAAGCAGCTAAGCACATAGAATTGGAACCTAGGGAGTGCCTACTTAAGCTATATGCTCAATTGGTATTTAAGGGATCATCCATGATTCGAGTTTGATTCGATGTTTTGTTAGAACATGATCAGAGGTTTGAATTTCTATCCCTGCACGTTTGAACTTGAAAAGAAAAAAGAAAAAAAAGTTGAAGAAGAGAGTAAAATGACACAAACTCGTGAGATCGGATATTGAACGGACTTTGAATTTCTAGCTTTTGATTGATGATACAATATATTTCCAATTGGTGATAGCCATATTAATTATGGGATGAAAAGTTCCAGAGAATCAATAGAGATTGAAGGACACTATATTGAAAAGTTTTTAGCATAGTGTGGATGTAAGTTGATGTTCTTTCGTATCTTTTCTCATTTTCAGTTGGGGTGTGCATTCAACCCGACAACTCGAACCAACCCAACCCGAACGATAAGGATTGGGGTTAGGTTGAATTAGCGTTTCGGGTAGGATTGAATTAGCATTTCGGGTAGGGTTGGGTTTATTTTTCTAAACCCGAACTGAATACCTAATAAACATTTTTCTCGATGTGATGTATAGTTGTACGAATCAAGTGATCACGCAGTAAATAAGGAAAAATCATGTGTAGCCATATTTTTTTTTTTACTTTAACTAAAAAAAAGTTTTTTTTTTTTAATGAAAAAGTACATTAAAAAGTGAAAAATCCCAACAAGTTCCGATAAGATTAGGTAAGATGTTGGGTCACTTTACATCCTGGACAACATGATATCCAACCAAACATCTCTTACATTTCTCATCTCATTTGCTAAAAGAAAAAGGAAATCCCATTACAAATCCCATTCATTCATAATCAAATCCCTTGATCAACCAACAACAACAACAACAACACGAGAAGATAAAAAAAAGGAGGAAAAACAATCGAACCATCAATCGTCAGACCTACAACGATATATCTTAGAGCAGCCTCGATTGTAAGGATTTGCTGGCGGCGGAGCGCAGCTTCCGCTTTTAGTGTAAGGTTGACCACCGCCACCCCCATCACAAGCTGGGTGATCCTTTTTCAAAGCTCCAATAGAGATATATTTCTTTTGCTGTGCGAGAAACCTTCGACTTATCTCCGACTCCATCAACGTCTCGTCTTCACCACCACACTCAGCTATGGAGCCATTGCAAGAGTGCTTCGATGAAGCTCGAACGAGACAAAGATCTTGAACGAGGAGGAGAAAGAGAAGAAAGCAAGATTTTGGGATTCTTGTTGTCATTTGTTGCTATGAGTTTGATGAACTCTTTTTTGGCTTTGGTTCCTTTATAGATATTATTCCTTAGAATAATTCTTTTTGCTATAAATTTTTGTGATGGAGGGAAAAAGAATAGAGAAAAAAAAAATGCATTAGTGGAAGAAGCATTAGTGGGAATTAAAGGGTCCATTCTTCATAAAAAAAAATCATAACCAATTGCTTTTGAGTATTAAATTTTTTTTTTTGGGAAACATTTAAAATGAGGGAGTAGGTGAGTCGTTACCGATACATTATTTCAAACTTTTTCGAAGTTTTGAGTTTTGAGTTAGTGGGGTTGGTGACTCGAACAATTCGAACAGAGTTCACAACTCAACTCAAAGTTTAGGTTGGATTGTCCGATTGTTACATTAATCACTAAAACATTCATAAGTCATAAGGCATCATTAACATTAATTACGAAGGTCAATATTCTTGATCTTCAATATAATTTCAAAAGTAAGGTAAGATTGGGTTGGGTTGGGTTGGGTTGGGTTGGGTTGGGTTGGTCGGGTTGACCTGACAAAAAAAAAATGTCAACTTGCAAACAGACCTTGAATTTTTTCGATTTTTCGAAAATTTGACCTAATCTGAAATTAACCCAGCCTAACATTTATGGTTTGTGTGATTTCCCACATTGGTTGGGGAGGAGAACAAATCACCATTTATAAGGGTGTGGAAACCTTCTTCTAGCAGACCTGTTTTAAAGCCTTAAGGGGAAGCCCGAAAGGGAAAGCCCAAAGAGGACAATATCTGCCAGCAGTGGGCCTGGGTCGTTACAAATGGTATCAGAGCCAGACATTGGATAATGTGTCTATGTGTCAGCCTTCTACCTGTTCTCCAAAGGGAGGTAGACACGAGGCGGACGAGGCGGTGTGCCAGTAAGGACGCTGGGCCCCAAAGGGGGTGGATTTGGGGGTGGTCCCACATTGATTGGAGGAAGGAAAGAGTGCGAGCGAGGACGCTGGGCCCCAAAGGGGGTGGATTTGGGGGTGGTCCCACATTGATTGGAGGAAGGAAAGAGTGCGAGCGAGGACGCTGGGCCCCAAAGGGGGTGGATTTGGGGGTGGTCCCACATTGATTGGAGGAAGGAAAGAGTGCGAGCGAGGACGCTGGGCCCCAAAGGGGGTGGATTTGGGGGTGGTCCCACATTGATTGGAGGAAGGAAAGAGTGCGAGCGAGGACGCTGGGCCTCGAAGGGGGGTGGATTGTGACCTCCCACGTTGGTTGGGGAGGAGAACAAATCACCATTTATAAGGGTGTGGAAACCTTTCCCTAGCAGACGACTTTTAAAGCCTTGAGGGAAAGCCCGAAAGGGAAAGCCCAACGAGGACAATATCTGCTAGCGGTGGCCTGGATCGTTACAGTTTGAGTTAGACTGTCTGGATTGGTTGGATTCTCAGGTCATATGAGTTTCCTTAGTCGAGGAGTAGCAATTAACCTTCATAGAAGATCGTGGAAGGAAATGAATAAAAAATGAGTTACGTAAATGTTTTCAACTTAATTGATAGAAACGTGTTTTGAAGTTTATATCGATAAATTTTAGAAGTTTGGAAAGATTAGAAAAACGTTGCATACTCGACAAAGTGAAGCGAAACAGAGCATTTAACTTTTAGAGTGGATCATAATGCATGTGTGGATGGCATTATTATTGAGTGGAACCAAAGAATTCAAAAGGACCAATTATTCCATATGAACTCGTGGGGATCTTTTGAACTGTTTGGCCCACCGACTTTTTAAGTACGCACATTTATCGAAAAAAGTTTATTAGTTTGAACGTCCCATGCCCAAGATTTAGATAAGAATTCAGAATTTAGATCTGACACTTATGTGTCCCGACATTTTCTTGCGACAGTGTCACGTTACTCACTTCTTGCTTCTATGAATAAAGACTATCCCTACAGATCGACACGGGTCATTTCAACATGCTTTGTCTTCACTCACATGCTTTCTAGGAAAATTTTCAGAATGTCACCTAATATGGAATTGCTCGCTTAATTTTAGAATTTTACAATTAAGCCAACGAAAAAAAAACGTGCATGTTGCTAGCATAGATAGTAACTTCAATTTTCTCAAGTATTTTTAAAAAATTCTATTATTGGGATCTCTCAATTCATTGATGTATTCCTCCATTACTCGGGTATCACAATGTTCTTCTCCTCCCTTCGGTGGGCCAAACACTTAGAAGAATAGAGAATGTCCCAAACAACCGAGTGTCCCAAACAATCGAGTGTATTTATGTCCAAGACTAAATAACTTCGTAGTCTAAACAACTTTAGCTTTAATAATTTCGCTCACCTTCTTTGTGTGTACTTAAAAAGAGAATCATTCTGATAGCTAAAACTTCGGTGTCCTTAAAATTTACAGTATTGAGACATTGCTATCTATATTTAATATTTTTTTATTTGCGTTTATGTGAAGTTGAGAGATTCGAACTTCTGACATCTTAATCGAGAATATATGACTAAATAAGTTTAATTATAATATATATATATATATATATATATAATTGTATTGCAGACCATATATATATTTTAAAATTAATGATAAATTCAGGTCGATTCAGTTCAACTCAATATAGTTCGAGAGGAACCCATAAACCAACCCACTTTATAAAATTTTCGTTTATTTGAACAAAATTCAATCCAAATAAGTTAATAATGCAACCTAAGCCGTATAAGTTAAGTTAGGTTGATCGAATTTTTTGAATAATCAAATTTTCTTAAACACTCGTAACTCAAATCGATCTAACAGGAACATTAAACTAAAAGTCTACGAAGATCATGTATGAACACTAGAAGTAATTAGAAGAAAAAACGAATACCTTTATTTTTCTTTATTATCATTCTTTATTCTTATGCACTACAATAATTTAAGAAATGATCAAATTGATTAGGACACATTATTGATGAGGTGGGATTTGTTACATTATAGAACAATGGGGCGATTTAGGTCCAATACGCCTAGACGTAATTTTGTTGAACAGTTATAATACATTTTGGGCCGATTCAGGTCTGGTAGACCTAAACATGATTTCGTTGAATAATCATACAAACAGAAAATACAAAAGTTACGTAATATAATATGAAAATAAATAAAGAGTTTGACGTGACATGGGCATGCAGATACGGACAACACGCCCTGAACGAGCATGACCGTGACACTCAACATCTTAAATATTTTGATAGTTTAATTTATGAATTTGTCGGGTCTTCAAAGTCAAAAAAATTAGAAAGGTTTAGTTAATAACGTTTAACCTAATCCTTGCCTTAATTAAGGGTTGTAGTGGTTGTTTTCTTGCATCATATCATTCATACCCACCTAATCAAATGAGTATTATTATAGAATAATAATGATAAGATTAAACTATACCAATATCTTTAGGATAAGCCTCATGGCATCCATTATTGCATCATGTGTGACACTAAGCCTTCTCTTTAAATTGAGCTTAGTAGTGGAGAGATAGCTCAATTGGTAGCAATATCAATCTTTATATTTGTAACTCGTTCTTCGAAGTAACTCAATGCCATGGCTCTTTATGGAAAGTTGGAGACCGATATTGAAATTAGGGCTTCAGCGGAAAAGTTTCACGAAATAATTCATCAAAGACCTCACCATATATCCAATATCTGTTCAGACAAAATACAAGGCGTCGAGTTACACGAAGGCGAATGGGACAAAGTTGGCACTATCCTCTATTGGCGCTACGTTCATGGTTTGTTCATTAATATTACATCTTTATCTTTTATCAGTTCAATTATAATTAACCAACGTTTTGTGGATTAAACCTACATAGATGGAAAGAATTGTGCGATGAAGATTGTAATAGAAGCGGTCGATGAGAACAACAATTCGTTCACTTAGAAAGTGTTAGAGGGAGACCTTGTAAGAGCTTTAGAATTAAAATTAAATCTATCCGAAAGGAGAAGGGAAGTGTGATTCATTGTGGTTTGGAGTATGAGAAGCTTCATAAAGGAATTCAAGATTCACATACTTTTCTTCAGCTTTGTGTTGATGTCGCCAAAGACATTGATGCTTACCTTATGGGAGACAATAATGAAGGTTCATTTATAGCCAAGGCATGACCAACAAACCACTCATAGCTCTTGGGTGGTGCTATTACTATGTTATGTTATGGAATAATAATTGGCAATTACTATGTTGCTAATCTTAGTTTTGTACTTAAATAAACATATCATGTCGTGATTTAGCTTCTTCTATGTCACGATCACAGTGAAATACATAGATTTTTATATGTTTATAATAAAATGCGAATAAGGTTTGTAATTTGGTGCAATAATTGTTAACGTTTTGCATTGTGTTTGAGCATTCCTTCTTGTTGGATGACCGAGTGTAATCAGCTCATTTTCTGGAACTTTCGAGTTACAAATAGCTATTAATGACATGAAATAAAATAACATCGTTAATTTCAATAATTTAAAATCATGCATTTCACTAAGTAAATTAGACAGATGCCTTGGGGTTGATATTCCCTCTGTGACTTTCAAAGTCCCGAGCACCCCAAGGCCACGAACTGTTACTTCATGGACTTGAAAAAAAAGTTTAGAAAGGAGTGAATATAGACATACCCAGTAAGTAATCCACTTGTAGGCTTTTATTCGCATCCAAGTCTTAGGAGAGAACCACCAACTATACTCTAGATCCTAAAGTCTTAGTACTCTTAGTACACAGTTCGGGGTAGAAGAATACCTTTGAAGCGGTATTCAGCGTTTGAGATGAGGTACTCCCTCATAAAACATGTACCCCGGGTACAACTGAGCTAGAATAAGTCACCCGCGTGGTCAACGTCCTTCCACAGGATGGACCCTCCATGCAAGCAACCTTGACCCACCCACGTGATCAACATCGTACCATAAGACGGATCCACCATGCAGAGTAGTCAATCTACCACTGAGTAACACCACCCTAACTAGCATCTCGCCTAGCTCCACGGTACCGCACCAGAGTAGAAAGGGAAGTGAAGAATC